CCCAAACTGGAACACATATTATGTAGGCAGAAGTGGAGATTGTTAAATCTTGCCTGTACAATCCAGGCTTTACAGAAAAAAAAATTTTTGAAGGCCTGCCTTCAACAAAAAAAACCCTCAAAAAACAACCTGAATTAAAAAAAAGAAGACAGACAAAACCAAGACATGCACAGGAAGAGTCCCCTAGCCCAAATATTCACTTTACACATACATTAATGCCATTTAATTAACAAGTTTAGACTCCAACTGCCATCCCTTGCCCACTCCTACACCAAGGAAACACAGAGCAGGGGATGTATCACTTGCTGGCAGGCAAAAGCGTGCTCCTAAAGGTACCAAATACAACAGCTGTTAAATCCTATCCTTCTAAAATTGCTTATTTGAAAACAGAATTACTATTGAAGTCAATACACACATCCTCAGCATAGAAGCCTGTGTTAAGGCAAAAAGGAAGAAATACAGGGGCAGCACCCACAACTTACCCTGTTTTGGTCAATAACATCCACGATGGCCACCAGCTTGCCAGCATGTGGCCCGAAGGAGATGAAGGCAACCCTGCCGATCTCCACGAAGCGCTTGAACACCTGCGAGGGCAGCAATGGACAGAGTCAGGCGAGAACACACCCAAGGCCATTTACAGATTCAAGCCTCTGAGAGCCTTTAAAAGAGCTCCCCCAAAACATCACAGAATGGTTTGGTTGGACAAAGACCTTAAAGATCATAGTCCCAGGGCAGGGACATCTTCCACTTCACCAAGTTGCTCAGAGCTCCATCCAGCCAGGTCTTTAAAGCTTCCAGGGATGGGGCATCCACAATTTCTCTGGACAACCTGTTCCAGGGTTTCAACACCCCCACAGCAAAGAATTTTCTCCTACTATCTGACCTAAACCTACTCTCGGTTCGAAGCCATTCCCCCGCGGCCCATCACCACAGCTCCCGTAATCAGCCCTACCCCCTCCTCCCTCTAAGTCCCCTCCAGCTCCTGGAAAGCTTTCGAGCTGCACGAAACCCCCGCGCCTCAGCAGAGCGGCCGCGCTCCGAGCCCGGCCCGGCCCGAGCCCGCACAGCACGCGGAGCGCGGCCCCGGCCCAGCGCGGTGACGGGGACGCGCGCCGTGGCCGCGGCTCCACAGCCGCGGGGCCGCGCGCGCATGCGCTGTGGCGGCCGGCGGTTCCCGTGCCCGGTGTGGGAATGCGCGGCCGCCCGAGCTGCTCCCAGAGGGATCAGTCCTTCCCTGACCTCCTGCAGGTCCCGCCCTCCTCCACGGGCGCTGCAGTAAACTGTGCCTCTGCGGGGGCTCCGGCTGTGCTGCGCGGTGTGGGGGACACCGAGAGTGTCTCCAGTCGGAATGCGCCCGGTGTGAGGGGCGGCACACTTCGTGCCGCTTTCGGCTGCTAGAGTTACATTTCTTCACAGTGGCCCGTGCTGAACACAGGGCTGACAGTACGGAACGTGTTTGTTGTTGCCGAGCAGGGCTCGCACAAGGCCTTTCCTGCTCTCCGTACTGCCACACGGGCTGGGAATTCGGGAGTGCGTGGGAGATTGAGAGGAGACACAGCTGGGACAGGTGGCCCAGGCTGACCAAAGGGATATTCTGGAGCTTAGGAAATAGCTACTCACTTTTCATAGTTTAGGAAGGTTTATTAGGCCTTATAAAAACAACAGAAGACTGAATAAAGAAAAAAGGTTACAGCACGGGGAGCAAAAGATTTTCCCCGGCATGTGCTCAGCCCCCTCACAATGGAGGTTTTTTCCCTTTTTAACCCTTTAACCCCTCCCAAAGTTCTGTCCATCCACCCTTTCTTCGTCTAGTGGTGGAGATCTCTTCCTCAAATCCTGATTGGGAGTCAGATGTCGCCATAGTGCCAAGCCAGCTCTCCCAGATGTGCCAATTCCCATTGTCCCTTGATAACCACGAGAGGGGGTCCAATGTAACTATAAATCCATAAACTTTTCTTAACCTATATAGGTGATATTTGTCCATTAATTGTGAGAGTCAATCATCGCATTACTCATCTATCACACTCGGTTTATAAAGTAGGGGAAGAAGGAGTAAGTGGGAGAGGTTTGGAGTGATGGCATTTGTGTCCCCAAGTCACCATGATGTGTGATGGAGCCCTGCTCTCCTGGAGGTGGCTGAACAGCAGCCTGCCCATGAGGAACAATGAATTAATTATTTGGTTTTATTTATTTCTCTGTGTGGTTTTTACTTTCTTAAACTGTCTTTATCTCAGCTCATGAGTTTTCCAGCTCTTAGCCTTCCATTCTCACCCTGATCCTGCTGGTGGGGGAGTGAGCGAGCGGCTGCCTGGGGCTTGGTTGCTGGCTGGGGTGAAATAACCACAACTTTCAAGCCTAATCAGCAGGAAAGGAGAACTTACCAGTGAAACAGGCAGCTTTTATATATATATACACATACACGTACATATATATATATACATATATACATGTAAAAAAGAAGAGTGTCTTTCTTTTAACCATCAGGATTTTCTTGCTGAGAACATGGCATTCAGGAGATAATGAGTCCTGTCCACTTCAGTACCTGGATCAGTTTTGCAGCTTGCAAATTTCCAGCACCTAGAACAGCATTTCTTCCCTCCCTGTTAACAGTAGCTTTTCTACCAGCATGAAAATTCTGATAAGAGAGGGTGCTACCCTCTAAGACATGCTAAAAATAAAAAGTACACTTGCCTTAACTTTCCACAATTTTATTAATCTTCATAAGCAGGCACTGAAGAGTGTAAAAGGATAAATAACCTCTGGTTTGGGCACATTCCCCAGTGTTGTCAACTTCCCTGTCTCTCCCAGAGATCCTCTCAGTTGTAGACAGCAGGACAGGGATCTGGCCTGTTGATCTGGTTCCAGCTCACACTTGGGGGAGGAGTTGGCTGTGGTGGTTGAAGCTGCTTGGCTGGAAGTTCAACACCCTCAGCTTTCCCACCTGAAACTGCCGGAGAGGTACATCCTGCCCACCGGGCATCCTGGTGACACCGAGGGAGACTGAATACATAAGGACAAGAGGGAAGTACTAAAAAAACAAAACACGTGATTCACAAGGGGAATTTGATTCTTTGAACAGATACTGGGCCTATCCAAGTACATCTGGAAGTCCAAATGGTTCTTGAACAAATTTATTTGCTCTTTAGCTGCCAGCTCTGCAGAGACTAACTTCCAAGTGTGTTCCATTTGTGTAAAACCACATCTGAATGGCCCTGCCACTCAAAAGCAAATGTTTTGTAGGGCAAGTAAATATTCCAGAATACAATTTTCCACTGAAATTTGGCAACTAAAGAAAACCTTTTAATGCTCTTATCCAGCTGTCTATGTTTTTTCACCATAACTGCAGTTACAGATCCATCACACAAAATATCTCATGCCAGCCTCTGTAATGTCCATGCACTCTGAAGTAAATTTTACACTTTATCAGATATAGCTTTGGTGCCACAGAGCTCTTCATCATCTTACGATGCCTTTTATCTTATTGCTACTCCAGTAAGACTGACGAGACTTAGCAGTATATCAATAGAGAAGGAACAAAGCCCTATTGATCCGCTTGAAAAATCACTTTTTTCTTTTTTTTTATTTAAAAAGATATTTAGCTCGCTTCAAATCATCTGTCAGCCTATTAAAAAAAATTACAAAAGAAAACAAAACCCCAACCCCACAACCAAACAGAAGTAAGAAGGTGATGCAGAAACAAAAGACTGAAATTAAAAACATTATTTATAGCTAAAAATACTGGCCACTGATCTCCGATCCATCCCCTAATCAATGCTGGGAACAGATGAAGCAGAGAGAGTCCTATGATTTACAGGAGCGTGAGGTTTGGTGAAGAATGGCTGGGCTTTCAAGGAAGCCAGCATTTGCTGCACTTTCAGGAGAGCTCTGGATCAGAATGTTGGACAGCAGCATCTGCCAGAGGGATCAGTGCTGCTGCAGGACAGTGCAGAGGCTGACCAGGGCACCCGTGACTGCAGCTCCAGCAGTATGTTCCTGAACCCACACAGAAAGAGGTGTTTTGCTGGCCTGGAGACTGGCTCCCGTTCCTCTTGGCCTTGAAAGAGGGGCTTAACATGTTAATGGATGGTTCAGGTCTGAGACTCTGTCCAGACAGCTGAAATAATGCATATGTATCAAATCAGTACTGACTGCCACTGCCTGAGACCAACAACATGGGGGGTGTGCAGGTGAGGGTTTCAGTGTGAAAAACTACAAAAAGCGTTTCTGTGAAAGTTAGAAAAGGACACTGAAAACTCTAGTGTCTTCTGAAGGCAACTATGAGAGATTTAAATTTAGGTTCAGTTACTAAAGTGTGAAAGCATTTCGTTCCACCTCCAAAGCAAGTCTTATGTACCAGACCAGAGGTGTTTTGGGGTCTCTATGGTACCAAAATATCTAGCTCTGTTTAGAGACAGGTTCAAAAGTCCTGAGAGGTGTTGACAGTTTATTACACCTTCTTGTGATGGGGATCAATCCATTTGGAACTGCAATAAAAACAATTCTATCACAGCTCTTCCTTTCAGTTCTTGTCATTATCCAGTGCTTGTTCCAGTCTCAGAAATTAGATTACTTCAGGGCTTTTAGTGTCAGCACTGCACACAAGGACAGCTACCATGTTCCCACCTCCCAGAGTTGCTATTGGCTTGTTTAATTTTGTCTTAAACAACTGCCACTGTGATCAAATCCATCACTTCTTGAGCTCAGCAGTTAGCACAGAGTTAATGAACCAAAAAAATAATACATACCTGTCAGGAAAATGCAAGTAATCCCTTATAAAGCAAAGTGACATATATGCCCATGTTTTCTCTGCTGCACACTGGACAAATTGGGTTTACAGAAACAATTACCAAAATATTTCAAAAGCGCTCCAATTCACCATATCACAGATCCCTTTGTGCCTCTCCTCTATTTATGCTTCTGGTCCAGAAGTCATTTTTTGCTGTCTTTCTTTTTGAAAAATGGGGGGGCAAAATAAAGTTCTGCTGAGTTGCACCCTTTGTGCCTCTCCTCTATTTATGCTTCTGGTCCAGAAGTCATTTTTACTCTCTTTCTTTTTGAAAAATGGGGGGACAAAATAAAGTTCTGCTGAGTTGCATTGTAACATTTTTGTTTGGTGTCCAGCCAAGCTCATTCATTCTGGAATAAACACGTGTTCAACGCGAGGGACGTCCTTCCGATGGTGCGACACGACGCACAAGTACACGAGGAAGAGGAGACACAGCAGCGCCGTGGCTGTGAGGAACACCAGGAGCCCAGCAAACAGAGGGGGTTTCAGAGGCAGCTGGATCAGCTTCCCTTCTGCTGGAATCATGTTTGTGAGGCTTAGCATGTAACCGAGTGACCACGCTATGCTGCTGTTACCAACCTGAAATGAAGACAGAAGAGTCCTATTCCCATGGAATTTTCACTCAAAGAGAACAGACTCCAAGAGCTCAACTGCTGTTAATGGCAACTGTCCTTTAAATTAGCAAGGAGAAACCTTTAGTGGAATATACAAAGAAGATGCAGAACCATTTCAAATTACTCTTTTTCTGTAGCTCCAGAGGATGCTAATAAAATTGTTCACTGGGCTAAAGAAGCAAGACACAGGTATTGGAGGGATGCAGAGATGTGTGGTGTATATGCAGGCAGCCAGTTATGCAATTTTCTGTGCAAGAAACACATTTTAAACAAACAAATAAAAAAACCCATGACTACTATGCCAATTCCTAAAATTAGCCCCTCACCTTCACCAAATCCCAGGATGTCATTTGAGTTCAAGCAAATAAAAAAACCCACCAGGAGTCTCACCAACATGGACAAAGAAGAAGTGAGGATAAAGTCCCCAAAGCAGGAACTCTATTTATCATCTTTTGTTCCATGTTTGTTTTTGTGCCTGCAAATGAACCAAAACTAGGCTCTTCCGTTTAAAAAATAAACATAAATTAAAAACTACTTCAAAATGGATGAAATAACAGCCAAGGGAGTATGTTTGTGTTTGCTCCACGGTCCTCCTGTTTTGCTGCCTTTCCCCACTTCTAGTCTGACCAACAGAGTTTACCAGTTTTCCACTGTCCTTTTCATTAAGTCATCATCCTGGCACTTGATAAGCACAGGATCAAAAGGTAAAGTGTCCTCTGTCTTCCTCTCGTCATGAGGTTTAAAACTTACAATTTTTGCAAATCATCTAGCTCTGGATCTCACCCAGAAGTTAGCATTAGGTTGTGTTCAGCTTTCATTGGTTGTATTCAGTAATTAAAAGGACTTTAATTTTTTTAATTTGCTCCTAGCAAAAAACCCACCCTCCAGCCATAGTGGATCTCACCCAGAAGTTAGCATTAGGTTGTGTTCAGCTTTCATTGGTTGTATTCAGTAATTAAAAGGAAATATACACTCCTAGCAAAAAACCCACCCTCCAGTCATAATAAGATTGTGCTGTTATCTCTAGGGTAGCTTAGCTGATCAGCCAACATTGGATCTTACTATTTTAGTAGGGGCAGATCTAGTAAAGAGGATGTAGTTTTGCCTTTTGGAGTTTCATGATTACCCTAGTGTAAAATCTAGGCAACAAAGGTATTAATTTCAAATAAGTCTTTTGGGGTTTTGTTTTCCTCAGTATTTTTATAGTCTTGGCTAAATACAAGAAAATGTTGCTGTTTCTGGCTGCTCCTATCTGCTGGGGACAATACAATATCTATTTAAATATCAAGACAAATCCACATCCCATCCCCCTGCCCAGTGGAGATTAAGATCTCAAAGTAAACTCTATGCTGTTTTCCTGGTGGAACAGCTCAACTTTGGACACTCCTCCAGAGCTGCTAATGATTGTCCACCAGAGGTCAAAATAAGGCAAGAAAATGCTACGTGATTCCTCAGTGCATGAGTAATAGGTATGACTGTTCAGAAAACATTACTTTTGATTTCTCATTCACAGCCTGCCAGCATCCCCTGCATCTAAGGGGATTTCAGAATACACCATGAAGATCTACAACTTATTCTTTTGTTGGCTTTGCATGCAAGGGCTGAAGCATTTCCAAACTATATGGACATTAGGAGACAGTCTGGGATAGGATTTTAGAGTAAGGCTTTGTGCAGTAGCAAAGAGGAAAATAAATGCATCAATGACACAGATATTATGAGCCTTCTCTCTCTGTCAACTGAAAGGCAATAGCCCATCAAAATACATTCTTATTCCAGAGAGCCAGATTATGGCACAGATGGATGAGCTGGGTGAGGATGAAAACTGTCCTCGTTGCTTCATCACCACTCAGTGGCTCCAAATTGCTTTGCCAGTTCCTCCAAGGCTCTGCCAGGAGACAGAAAAGCAGAGTTCTGCTCTCCAGCTCAGCAGGGTTTCCTCAAACTGACCTTGACTGCTGAGGTGTTTTAGGCAGATCACTGCCTGGAGCAAAATACTGTGGAAATGTTTAAAACATGAGTGTTTGATCTTTTCTTAAAGCTCTTTAAAATTTTTGTAGCATCTCCAAATAATGCTGAGCCCCCTGAAAACAGGCTGAGATTTATCCTGAGGTTTGAAAAGTGGCTTTGTCTTATGCCAAACATTTGACAGTCATTTACCAAGGCTGTTTACAACCATTCTGTTTTTGCAGGCTGCTGCATCCTCTGTTTCCTTCTCAAGCTCATTGGATTAAAATGACAGTAATAGAAAATTATTATTACTCACCTCCTTTTGGAAATGTATCTGTGGCCAAGTTTCTGCATTGAAGTTGTAACCATGTACAAGCAAGTAATAAATGAAATTGGCTGAGAAACAGTACGATCTAGCATATATTTCTTCAAATTTAGGCAGCATAAACTGGAGCTGAAAAGGGTTTTTTTTTTAAAAAAAAAGTTAATTATGGAAAAAGCAAATGCTTTGGGTTTTGTAACTAGAGAATATTTGCATTCTAATTAGAAGTTAGTAACATTTTTCAGAAATACCAAGTAAAGGTGTAGACAACTAGATACAGGGATTCAGAAAGACTCTAAAAGTGCCATAGCTTATGTAGTAAACAATGAAAATAAATATAAAACTGCACATTGAAGATTGATGCTGTTATGGTTTCTAAAATTTCCATGTCATCTCTACAGTGTGGTTAGAACTTGAAATGAAATTTTGAAACCTATTCCAAGTGTTAAGCATGACAGAAATACTATCTGGTTTGAAGCAGAGTTGAAAAACAAATGCTGGGTTGATACAGACCTTCTAAAATGTTCTGAACACATAGCTGGTCCATATTATTTTTATATCCCTCTTTTAGAGGTTTAAAATGGAAAAGAAAAATCCCAACAACACCAAAAACAAACCAACCAACCAACCCATTTACCTGTGTCCAGCTCTGTGAACAGAAAAACCACATACTTGAATTGAAGTCATCTAGGGAAAATTGCCCAGATAAATTCAAAGCATTAATTGTATAGTAGAATCCAGAGAAAGCCTATAGAAAAGAAGTGGATGACAGGTTACTTTCAGAACTACAGAAATCAAGAACAAGCAAGCTCAGAAAGAAGGACACTGTTTGCAAACCTACCACAAAGTTCCCTTTAGGTTTTGGCTGATGTATTCCACTAAATGGGCAGTCCTCTCTGTCTCTGCAAGCAGTGAAGTTAAACAATAAAGAAACCATCTCCTGGCACAGTCCTGGGTCTCCTGTTCCATGGAAATTCACAAGCTGGTTTGGGGAGTAATTTGCTGGTCTCAGAGACTGTGTACAAAGGCTGCCAAAGAAGTCCTTCATCGTTAATGCTGTGTTATAGTTTTGAGGGTAACAGGGATTATCCACATTGGCACTGGTGTTTGATTTCTGGGGGAAAAAATAATCAAACAAAAACAAACAAGAAAACCCAAACAATAAATACTAGTCAAAAGCAAGAAACCCCTAATTTGGCATGAGCTACAGGACTCTTTTTAAATTGCAGATATATGTATTTTTGCTCACTGACATGACTGGTCAACACAGCACTATAATTCATAGAAACTCCTTTCTCCAGAAGTCGTTGGCAAGATCAGCAAAATATTTACAAGGCCTTTTTGTCAAATGGCACGGAACTCTCACTAATTTTTAACAAATATGAAGCTCTTTATATGAAACCTAAGTGTGTTTGGCCACACCAAAGCACAGCTGAGCTCTTACTGGGGTCTCCAGACTCCAGCAAAGAGAAGAGATCACAAGCCTAAGACTCTGCTCAGACAATTACTGAACACTTGCAAGAGCAACACAGCAAAGGGTCTTAAACAGACCTGGAGCAGCAATGCTAAAAGCCTTTTCTCAGCTTCATCTCTGCCATAGCACTGGTAGCTGTGAGTGTAGACATTGTAGTTGTAACCATACAACTTCACTTGCAAGGTGCTGTTGAGGTGCTCCTCGGGGTCCTCGGTGATAAATGAAATTTGGGTGGAAGCTCCTCCAAGGTCTAGTGCACCCATAGTCTCTTTTCCATAAGGATGGACCCATGTCCTCCAAAGGTTTCTCTACATGTGAAATTAAAAGCAAGGCAAATTAGAAATGTCATCTGCTTGTTCTCCCTGCAAGCTTTTCTATTCTTTACTTCTTGAAACTTCCTCCTCCCCCTTCTTTGTCCTACACTCTTTCAAAAAAAAAAAACAAACAAAAAAACCCACAAAAAACAAAGAAACAAACCTATGAGGAAAAGGTGCAGATGTTTTTATGTAAGACGGATCATTTCTCTCTTCTTCAGAGACTGAAATGATCTTGAAAGATGGGAGAATGAATGCAGCACAGTGTTCCACTCAATAGGACAGCACAATGACCAAAGAATAGGACTAGCCAGAGCAGTGTCTATCCTAGAATGTAGGGAACTGAAGTTCAGATACCCAGGAGAACTTGAACAAATCTGGATGGAAATGGTATCAAGATTTGCTTATTTCAAGGCGAGAAGAAACATTAAAGGAATAGAATACTAAGAGATCATAGAGAGTGAAAAGAGAGTGAAAATAGAGTAAAGAATGCAAAATAGTCAGATGAAAGCTCCACCAAAGTCAAAAGAACAAGGACTCTTAATCTGCACATTTCCTCCACTGAAACTGCAGTCTGATCCATTCAGATGGCATTTTTCCCTACTAACCAAAATATTTCCCAAATTCTCTATTTGATCTACAAAGTCACAGTGCCAAATATAGATTTTCCATTATTATCTATGTCAATATTTACCCAATGAGCATGATGAAATGAATGCATACACAAGAAGAGAAACTATGTGGTTTATGGGCTAGCAGATACACTCACAATAAAATTCTACAGTGAAAAATTCCCATAAACAATCCCTCACAGAATTTGACTCAGCCTGTTGCCACAAGAAAGGTCAGAATTTCTCTGTTCTACTTGTGATATTCCACATGTATTTCTTCACAGAACTCTCTAGATTAAACTGGTTTCACAGCATCTTTCATCCATTTTTATTAATTTTCCATATGGAATTTGATGTTTGGATGATTAAAATTCATGTGGTAGAAGACTAACACCGCCTTGAACTTCATGATGTCATTTTTGTTACATGAAATGCACACAACGAGAAAAACTCGTACAGAATGTGTGATTCCAATACTTGTTTTCTTAATGTTGTAAGTCAATAGCATATTCACCAGGAGCTAACAAGAAGTAATTCCTTCTTATTTAATGGCCATGATCTGATAGGAGCCATTCAGCTAGCAGTACTCAGCAGTACTGGTTGAAATTAATTTCCTTTCTGGTGAGACAATCTGGCAGAAGTGGGGTCAGTGGTGAGGGCAGCACACTCCTGCCATGAGTGCAGATGAGTGATTGCAGATCGTCTTGGTACAGCTTTTACTCTGAATGAAATCACACCAAGCACCTGTTCCTAAAAAGGGATCTTCCAACACATCTGACTCCCTCTCTGCTCCGAGGCTCCTGCCTGGCCCTATTCCAAGTTTGAGGACGGTGTGTTTATATTGGTGTCACTTGGTCTGCACGGGACAGTTGGTGTCACAGCCCGCTGCTCGTAGCCTGCAGCTTTCCAGCAGTCTTGGAAGGAGCTGTGTATGAATGATTGCTGGCTCAGCTGAGGCATGTCTGACCATCTTCCGTGCTTCAAGCAGTCTTGTCTGCTTAAGACAAGTGAGCCAACACTGCTAAACAATTTGGAGACCCCTAAGCCAGGCAGGGCAGCAGGGACAGCAAATAAGCAGAAGAAAAGATCTTTAGTTGGCACCACTGTCAAGACAATCAGCACCTGTCACATTAAATATACCAATGCCTTTAAGAGTGATCTAACCTTTTGGTTTTAGGTAAGACACCCAATGTCATTTAGAGAAGAGCTCTTTTTTGTGGATCAACAATTTTACCTTTGCCATATCCCATTCCCATAACAACATATTCTTTATGTTTGCCCTATGGCTGCCACAAAAAGACCCTGCTACAGACTTCTGGGGGAAACAGGGGCTGCAACTATGACTCTTTAACAGGCATGTCCTCTCAAACTTCTCATTTGTAAGAGGGAAACAGTGAAAAAAAAATCATGCAGGTTTTTCCACACACCTCTAAGAAATTGCCCATTAAATAGTTGGCCGTTATCCATCCATACACCCCTTCCTCTGGCCCAGTTATGATCTGCGCACCCCTAAATTCAAAAGGTTGTGCTCTGAAGTAGCTTTGAATGCTTGCAAGGACTTCATTGGCTGCCGATTCATTTTGCAACCTAAGCAATTCACAAAACATGAGACACTGAGCATCTGGAAAGGCAATTTCATGTTTATTGTTCACTGACTAGCAATTCAAGAAAACTACAATCACCTAATAAATGAAATACACATTATTTGCCTAAAGGAGAAGCCTATGAGAGGGAACAGCCAGTATCCAGCATTGTTTCAGCAGGCAAGTCCCTCAGTATGTACCAACTTCACTCTACATCATGCAAGTTCATGGGTGGGTTTTTTTCTCCTTGTATATACACCTTTATTTTTTGTGAACTGAGTTTTTATATGACAGCTTCTGGTTAAAACAGTCCTGGAATCTCTCTTCCAGCTCTGTTTAGCCACAGAACAAATATAATAAAACCAGTTTGTGCCAGGGCTAAAGCCACAGACAGACCCCAAAAGCTGCATCACATCAGATCACATCCACACTCAGAATGCAGTGGCTAGCTTCCATCTGCCTTTGCTGCCCATGGATGTGCACAAACATTATCTGTTTACATAACATTGTATTTTATGACAGATGTGAAAGAGAAAATTAAAATCTTGCCTTCTCCAAAATAAAGGAAGTTTCTTTTCAATGCACTATAACAGAGTGGTTTTATGCAGACACGCTTTCTCTCTCAGAAAAGTTTATTAAATTAAATTGGCTGGGCTCCATTTCCTTTTGAGATGGCCAATTTCCATTTGGGTAAAAATGCATCCAGTTCATTTTTCACGTTCTGTTTTCACAGACTGCTCTGTTAGTATGCATATAGAGTAGTTCAAGTTTCTGCCATACCTCAGCAGTCTCATGCCAGCTGTAGCCCCCAGATAAACAGAAGTGTTTTTATGCAGATGAACTGGTATTCTCTCCTTCACTTTATTCAGACAGTCATCAAGAGGCTTGGCAAGAGCTCCAGGGCTACTCTCATAGCTGGATATACCAGGGCCTAAAAGAGAACAAGGAGATAGATTTCATCCTGCTTTGCCAACTACAAATTAGCCCAATTAGCAAACAGGTGTTAAGAGAAAGACATTTCCCCCTTGTCCCCCACTGTAACTGCAAACAGGGGTAGGATGGCTGAAAACCAGGAGTGTTTATGGAATGAACAGTGTGGTGCCTCTGCATTTCATGATACACAGAAATGGCTCTTGAATTCATAGAGGTACAAGTCTGCTCTGGTGCATGAACCAGTAAACAGCTTTCCTAATTTCCAAAGCCTTCAAAGAGCAGGAATGAGAGTTACACCATGCTGCATAAGGCATAGCTATTTGAACAATTAACATCAAAGTCCTGCCTTGCTCAACACTCCAAAGACCATCAGGATCTTGACTTGTTCAGGCTCAAGTTTGGTGTAAATAAAACATTCCTTACTGAAATTCCCTAGCTGAGGAAGTTGCATGGAGAACAACTGCCAGAACTCCATCTGCCTCTGTAACAGCCATGTCTTGCACAACCTGGTCCCAAGCTAAGCTAAAGGTGGCTCTTAGCCACCTTTCTTAATTCTTAATTTAATTTTTTAATTGAAAGAGAAACCATTTAAGTTCAGTCACATTGCATTGACAGAAACAGAAGAAAAAAAAATATGTAAGCCTTTACAGACTCCACACTCCAAAACTCCTGTTTTGACTGTGTGAATTTCAACATAAACACTACCATGTCATCATTAGATGTTCACAGTCCTGGTTTTGAAATAAGACTTTCTGAAAGTCTTAAGTCTAGCTCAAACAGGCCTGAAACTGGAAGGAAAGCTGCTCCCAGAGGAAAACAGAGCAGCAACATCTTCAGCAGCTGCCATTGCCTCACACTTTGGTGGCTGCAACTTCCTATCTGCCAGTGTTCAGACAGAGCAGGTCACAAGGCAATGACCATGTTCTTCTGGACAACTGCCTGCTCTGCCAATGCTTAGAGCCTTACCAGGACAGATTAACTGCACTGTAAAGTAAGGATTTTGATTTGGGGCTGGTTCCTGTACACAAGGGCAGATGTACTTAATAAAGGCAGAAATGAAGTCATAAAACCACCACAAAACTCACAGAGCAGTTGATCACTTGACCTTCAAGTTCAGTAGGTATGTGAAAATCTGCCTTTTATTGTGCCCAGAGCTATCCCCCAGCTTAAGTGCTTAAGACTATGGTTGGAGGGTCACTGAAGAAACACTGACAGATGTGTTCACCACTGTCACCCACGGCTTAGCTGGGGGCATCTCCCATGAACCAGCCCTCTGTCTCCTCCAGTGCAGAGTTATCCAAGACTAGAAGACTGATCCCTGGAGAGTTTGTTAACTCAGGGATGTGGGAATACTTGGCTGGTCATGGCTAAGGCCATGAACCTAGAGAGTTCACAGCAATTTGGACTCCTCTGTTTTGTAATTTATTTGTATTCCCCAGAGGTAAAACAGAATCTAAACCAATTCAAGAAAATTCACATGGCACTGCTGTTTTGTTTTGGGTGGGTTTTTTGTTTTTGTTTTTTTTTTTTTGGAAGAAGAATAATGCAGTTTCTCTGTGCATTTTTCCCAAACCAGAATTCCTAAAGGCAAACATTCTTAATGAGTCCAGACATGAGTTAGCAGAGTGTACCCCTCCCCTCGGCAGGCTGGCCACCATTCCAGCAGTTTGTAATAACGTTTCATCATTAGAAACATGACAGTGCATTACTTCTGTTCATGTTACACTTGCTTTCCTTTCCTTGTTCTAGAATTCTGAGAATGTCCACACATATGTTTAACACTGAAGATAGAAATGCTGGTGCTGTAAAGAAACCATTGCCTTCTGCTCCCTGTTACTCATGGGCCTCTGTGGCTACATCTCCAGCATCATTTCCAGACACAAAGAGGGATGTAAGACTTTGCAAGATCATGACTGAGACAGAAGGAAACGATTCTCTTTGAACACTGCAGTTATTATCAGAGAACAGAAAACCTGATTTCCATCCCCTTCCTGGCCATCTGTCTTCACAAAATGCGTGGCGTTTCCATAACTTTGAAAGCTGAGTCAGACGTCCCTGAAGCTGACTAAGAGTTTCTATGAAGGAATCCACAACCCCCTAACCATACTGGAGCGTGATCAGAAGTCAGCCTAGTCTGTCTGTCTGTCTGTGAGGAATCAATTCAAAACCTCAGACAAAAGACAGGGCAAGTAGCCAGTGGTACCTGTGGGACATCTTCTAGCTGTGCACAGACACAGGTCTTCCTGAGACAGAGGCCACAGCTACGTATTTGACAAAACAATGACATCCTGTCAGAAATAGTTATGCCAATTTAGCTATTTTACTCATTAGTTTTATTACTACTTCCTAGTTTTGTAATGTGGAGAAGATTAATTAACAACTAACATCCAACAAGAGCTAGATCCCCATTCTTCCAAAACTCTTTTTATTCCAAGCTATTTTAAAATATATATAAGATTTTTATTCTGAAAGAAACACAAGCACTGAACATTTACAGGTCCTGACTGTCTTGAGATTGAATTCTGTCTGCACCAATCGTGCACTGCCATGGAGTAAATCAAATTTTGCTACAATTTCCTTTCTCTGGTGCAATGATTAGAGCAGCTTACTGTATCAGTAGGAAAAGAACTAATGCTGACAGATACAGACATAGTCTTGACAGTCTTCCAAGGAAAGGACAAGAAAGGAAAGGGAAAGGGAAATAAACAGTACAAGCAAGGCTAAAAACAACTAAGGAACTTTCCTTTGAGCTCACCTTTCACATTGCACTTGAAGGTTTGGCTCACTACTCCCGTGTTGTTTTCTTTTTCTGCCGGCCACTCATAGACATAGACTGTAGTCCGAGAGGATCCAGCATCAAGAACTATTCCATACTGGGGATTAAGAAAGATACACTAGATGAAGAAACAAACAATGACAGCTTAAATGCCCATGTGCAGCTGCACTGCACCACTAGACATTTAGAAAATGCATGCACAGTGTATTATTTACAAGAGAGATTAATTTGAGTGTTAGGCGCTTAGGCATGAATCCAACAGCCAAGCACAGAATGAACCTGGCTGCAAACCAAGGAACATGCTACATATCTTCAATAATTAATTCAGTGGGGATGGAGAATGCTCATCTCCTTTCAGCATCATGTTCAAAACCCACACTGACAAATAGATAACACTGTGTTAAGGCCTGATTTTGGAGCACGTTCATTTCCCTTTATCCCAGTCCATTCCCTGAACACAGAAGGGTTTGATATCTAAGCACAGGCTTTCGATTCAAGGATGCACAAGGGATCCATAAAGCTATGAGCAAAGAGGTAAAGTACCTAACAGTCGACAGTAAGAATGATGTAACAAGTCTGGTTCTTTCCTAATTGCCCCATAAACCTCTCCCTTGGAGTGGTTTACTCCACCTAAGAGCTTGTCTCTGAGAACATGCTGTGCCAGAGTATGAGACAACACAGAGGGAAAGCGAATCAATGTTACCCCATGATTATTTATAAAATAAATGAGAGCTATTTAAATTACTTGCCCCAGGTCCCTTGGACTCTGGGATTAAAGCACAGGTTTCTCCATCCCACCCCACTGCTCACCAGACCAGTCTTTCCCCCTTTCCCATATTTGATGGCAGGAGAAAACTGTAGTAACTGGGAAGGCAATCTCATAAAGGGAAGCAAAATGCAATTTTTGTATCCTCTTTATGATCCCTGCAAGTATGTTTAGCTCTTCCAAAGTCACCTAATTGGTAGGAGCCACACAGTAAAGGGTTCATTTTTCTGTCAGCTTTTTTCTTTTGAAACAGGCAGATGCCCAGGAGCCTGACAGTATGGAAAAATGAGAGCCTCCATCTGTCTGCAAAGGAGTAAGAGCCCCTGTAGCAAGCTGATAAATTTCATCCCACTGCCTCCCTGGGGAACCAGAAAGTCGACTGGGAAGGATCACTGCTTCAGGTGGCAAACCATTCAGCTTCCACACCTGATTATTCCCAGCTTCTACTGTAATCCTAAAAACTCCTGGCCCTCAAAAAATACCAGCAATACCAGTCTAGTCTGTTTCACAGAGGACTGTTAGATAATTAAAATTTCATTTATAGTTATGCAGAAAATATTTACCCTGATCCACTAAAAGATTAAAGGCTCCACAAATACTATCAAACCACTACATCATCAGATTCTGTTTCAGTAACTACTTTAGCAAAAATAATTTGAGTGTATTTCCTCTCCCTGGAAGACATGAGCACCCTGGAGGTACATAACACAGTAATGTTCAATCTGTTTAAGGACTACTAATTAAATATAGTCTCAGTCAACTTAAAGTGCCAAACATAAGCTTTTAACTTGGCTACTTTTAGAGCTAACTATGCCCAAGGAGAGCTGGAAGATAATGGAAGCATTTTTACCTCAGTTAACTGTGGGCTTTTTGAGCTACTTCCTCCTTCCCCTGCATTTCCCAGGCTCCTTCTGTAAGTAAGAGATTCCCATCCCAAAGAGTGGTGGTATACTGATCTGAATCAATGTGTGACTGACAATTTTTAAAATTTTCTTTCTACCTTTCCTCCTCCTCTGTGTTTCCTACACATCCTTAAAAGAGATGCTGATTTCTGAAAAGGTCTCTTGGGCCCATTTCAAGGTGACTCATGAAGCTCCTCAGGACTTGTGTGAGTTCCCTGTGTGCAAACTGGCTCATGCAGCCTCAAAAAGTGGTGATCAGTGACAACTCTGCCACATGTTAGGACCAAGATTAATCTTTAATTAAAAAACCAGAAATGACACAGGATGCTGCATCTTAGGAAGGTGAGAGAATTCTATAAGCCTTGTCTTAGCAGGTTGCCAAAGAAAAACTGCCTGGATTTAAATTTTCTAGAGATGTTAGATTTCTGTCCACGTTGCATGTTGGATCACCTTTGGCTGCCCTTTAAGGCCAAGCAATGCCTTCCTGCTTTGAAATGCACTGTGAGAGCATTGACAAACCCTTATTCCAGGCTAGCAGCTATTAAAGAACAGAACTACTTTTTCTCCCTTTTCTTCCTTTTTACTTCAACTGTCTGGCTGAGTATTTTCATCATCTCAAAGGCCTGGTGATTCTATAACATCCAAGAACTGCACCATCTACTCAATGGACTAGATTAGTCAGACAAGACAGGGAGACAACATTAACCCAGAAAAGTTTCAGAGTTCTGTTTTCTAGTCCAGAGGAAAAAAGAAAGAAGGGGGAAAAGAAAGGGGGGAAACAAAGTGACTTGAAGGAAAATATTTATTGTGGGAATATGGCTTTGTAGGTCCATCATGAGTAGTAATCCCAACAGATAACCAAGCACATGCCCCAGGATCAATCACCTTTTCAGCCTGAGTATCATTTCTATAGGAGGACGTAGAGATGCACAAACCCTTAAAGCAGGCACAGTTATGATGGATCACCTGCCTTCTAATCACTGGAAACTGCCAAGAGAAGCTAACAAGCTAAACCAGTTACAGGGAAGATGGAGGTCACAAAAGTGGATCTATGCTAGATGCATGCTTCAGTTCAGCTGCATAGGTTTGAACAATTTTAAATCAAGTACAACAGCCACAAACAATGCAAAACACTTCCTAAGAGCCAAAAGAAACATGAAAAATATAGGTGTTGAAAACTGTACCACCTGGAGGGGCAAATTAAAGAAATACAATAATGAAGTGGGGTTTTTATCTCTAGGGCTCACAAAACAGCAATGGACCAACAGATTTGATTTTTTTTTTTTTTGACTGATATAAAGGCTTATTTCGTTCGATGCTATCATCGTTTACAATTACAGACTTCTCCAGTGAGGACGTTTGTGTTTCCTTCATCCCTCTTGTCACTTCATGGTGTGTACCAGTGAGTCATGAGTCCTTTCAGTGTCCCAGCCTCATGCAATGGGCAGGCCCTTCCTTCACTAATCACTGCCTCAATCTTCACATAATCCAGCCATCAAGGATCCAAAATATTTGATTTTGCAACAACAGTTCAAAACACCAGTGGCATAGCATATAATTTATCTCTTGTGCCACAATGGATACTCTCAACATGCATCTTGGGAAAGAGCTTCTATGCCACAGGTAACACAAACAATAGTAATAGAAGAACAAGGCCATTTACAAAAAAAAATATCTGCTTTCATCATGTTGTCGCCATAATTAATTTTAATCAACCATTAAGTTCAGAACACTGTCATTTCCAGGCTCCATCATATCAGCCAGGCACTGGAGGACTTCACTGGCTTACCAAGGTCCTCCTTCTACCTGTGAATTTCTTGTGAATGTAAATTACTCACTGAGGACAACCCAGTGTCTCAGGAATCCAACTCAGGGCCCTCCATATCACCTGCATTAGCAGGCTTACAGCCCAAACTCAAATCCAAAGCCAAGGCACACCCACCAGAGGAAACAGCAGCCTTCCTACAGAAGCTGCTGTGATTCAGGAAGCAAACCTCCCCACTTAAACTGGCCCCAGATAGTCCAGGTGGTTCCAATGCTTCCTCAAGGAGGAAGGGAAACAGTTTTATCATTCTGGATGTGAAACTGAATTAATGGCAAACACAAGAGATGTGTAGGCTGTCTTTTAGATAGTGGCTTCAGCCTTGTCCAGACTTCAGTTGGGATACATGTCAGCCCAGTCTTGCCCTGCATGAAAATTGGTGGGATGTGAGGCTGCTGCAAGCAGCATTTGGGGCTCGACAGAGCACATACTTGAGGCACTGTGGCCCCATGCACAAGCCCGGCACACACCCCCTGCCACACCATACAAACACATAAAAGGGGCATCAGAATTACAGTTTTATCCCATTGTCTGACTCACACACCACCAAATGATTCAGACAAAGCCAAAGGTGTTTATAATCCCATGAAGTGCAACGAGGCATTAGCCTGGTTATCAGTGTGTGAACTATCCAATTAAATACACATGCAGATGGAAAGTAGAAGGGACTTCAAAGAAAAATCTGACAAAAGGATCGTGGGGAAATAACCAGAACTCTACATGCCAGGCTTCTCAGAGAAGTATTTTCTACAGCTTTTCCTCAGTTGTGCAATCTCTCATTGAAGAACCTGCACAAATGTTCCACAGCAGAAGGCAAAGCCTGACCTTCAGAGTATTTCAGTTTGTGTTTTGCAGTTTGCTCTGCCCCCCTTAAAGAAGTTCGTTTGCTTCCGTTAGTATCCAGCAAGTCCCAACGTGTGGTAAAGGATCAAGTGCATACTTAGAGCCCAAATGCTTTTGAGATACACAGGAGCAATTTGCAAAGATGTCAACATCAACTTCCCAGCTGTGCTTGGGGCCAGAATTTAAACTCTGGGTATTTCCCACTTCAAAATTATTTTAAAATTATTTCCAGTCTCTGGCAAAATGAGTGAGATATTCTCCCCATATGGCCTTTCAGTCCTGAAGAAGACATTGTGTGATAGCCACCACAGAGAGGGAATCAAGAAATACTTTTCCTGCTTTGCTACTGACCCTTGACCAATTCTTTTTCTCTCAGCTTCAGCTTTCCCATGATGATATGATTAAACATTAATTTATGGCTGTAAGCTCATTTGAATCACCCCATAAAAATGTGTTTAGAAAGGCACACTATTAAATATCAGTTCAAAACATTGTTCTCCTTCCTGAGGTTGCCTAAGACTTACCTTAAGACCTGGGGAGAGGATCTGTTGCTGATTTATCTGAATCACTGCAATAGCAATAACAAGGACTATGCTTAGAAGAAGGAACACTTGGGCAACAACACTTGGAGTTGTGGTGAGCATCCTGAAATGACAAAGTGGGAAGCACTTAGGGAATTTGAAAGGACTTGGCGATTCTGTCTTAAAGCCTGAAGCCCTTAATCGGTTGAAACTCATAAAATCTAATTTCATCAACTGGATCACGTAGTGGAAATTCTATCTCCTCCTCAAGAACTGCCTGCTGTTTTGCAACCACTAACTTTTTATTGTCTGGAAGGGCTGTGTCTGTATTGCCATGCTAACGATGCCAGATTTCACCCTCAGCCTGCCCGTTCTCCACGATAGTGCCTGCGTGTAGGTGCCTGCTCCCCACCTCCCACGCCTGAGGAAAGGCAAGCTGTGGGCACACGGGCTGGGGCTGGTGCTCACCCAACGCTGCCCTGGGCTCCTGCAACACAGACACAGCCACGGCCAGGCACAGACCTGAGCGAGGCTGCCCCACTGAGGGCAGCTGGGGGCTTCTGCCACAGATGCAAGGTCGGTGTCTACAAGAGATGCAGGCTTCTTCAGCAAGAAAAAAAAAATAAATAAAAAAGGAGGTTTTGAGAACATTAAATTAGGTGTATTTCTACTAACTGCTAATGAAATGTGTGTGTGTGTGTATTCCTATTATTATCACTCTGCACCGCACATAAAATATAAAATATACACTTTAACTCAGAGATTTGGCAATGAAAAGTTTCTAAATCTTAAGTAAATCTAACACGGTTATGTTGGACAAACCCCAAGGTGGCATGGAACATGCGTTCTAACAATAAGGCTATTTATATGTTCATATCCTCTAGAAAAGTTTCCTAGAATTCAAATGTGGTTTAGGTTTCCTGGAACTTTTCCATGTCCCTGACCAGACACCTCCTAACCCCAAGAGATCATTCAGTACCTCTGAATACTGACAATCCACATATCAAAATCCTTGTACTCCCCAGGGGTTGAGGAGGAAAGAGGCAACTGCAGGGATAGATCAAGCTTAGAAGTGTCAGAGGAACACAACAAGGAGAACTTGCCTGCCTTTGTTATTCCAGACACCATTGGCTTTGGCACAGAAAAATCAATGTAGACTTGATCGATCTATCCTCAGTCACATCTCCTTATTTTTCCATAGTGATTTTTGAACATACCAGTGCCTGCTCAGGACTGTCCTGCTATTTCAGCAGTCACCAGTGCCAACCTGTGCTGAGGGCAGGAGCTTGAAGGCGCTCTCCAGTCCATGGCCAGAGCACACTGGCTCAACCCCATTGTACCTGCAACACATGGTCTTGTCCTTGGCTCCAACCAGAGCCCGAGGGCTGAGGGAGAAGGCACAATGAATGCTTCACACAGCTTCCCTTTTCTAAACCCCATGGGCTCTGCGGCCTGGGCACCAACATCTATCTTCACATTCAAAGGAGAAGAAAGAAATTTAGTTTGTTCTGGGATTAGTTCACACTGAGCTTTGCCTATGGCTACTGCTTTCCTTCTTTTTCTTGCTCTTTCTGTTGTGAAAACTACCTCAGATTGGCTTTTGGAAATTCTTTTGACCCATCTTACTTCCAAAACATAATTTTTTACATCCATTAACTCCCATTTCTAAATCCATATGGGCTCCTTGTTTACTGCCTATCTACTCTCCCAATACTTTTTTTCTTAGTTTGGTAATAGCTTTATCATCTTAATCATCAGGCAGTTGAAAGAGAAAATTACCAGCTACGTTGGTGATCTATTTACTTCTCTTCATTGCTTTACTATCCTGAGGCATTGAAACATCATGTACACAATGCACAAATGATAAAATGAAATCTTTCTTTTACTATTACAAAATATGTTAACACCTGTACTGTAACCTTCAGGACATACTAATAAGAAGTATTTTAATGTCAGGACATACTAATTAGAAGTATTTATACAGATCAATTCCTTTTTGAATGGAGAGAGCAGATTCTTAACTACACATTTATGAATAACCATCTGGATAAAATACTTCAGGGGGACAAAAAGTCATTAGCTTTCAATTGTACATGGATACATCTATATAATATAAAGTGACTGAAGGAGAACTATCTGCTCACAACTTAATAAATACCAGTCACTCCTGGATCAAAGCACTGATGTTCAGTGTTGGAAAAAAAACAAGTCATCATCAAAGAAAAAATGTGCAGGGCAAATGACACTTAGAAAAATCAAAACATTACTAAAAACCAAGCAATAACGACTATTAGACCCTTAACACTTAAGTCTTGAATGATTAAATATTTTTCTGCTCCCATTTCTGGGAGAAAATGGGAAATCTTGGTTTGTTGAATTTCCCATGTGCTTCCCTGGTACTGGGATTTCTCTTCACCAGAGGTGATTTTTCTCTTTTCAGAAATCTTGTTTGAGAGGGAGCATGTAAGGTAAGAGCAGGTCACTTGAGACATTCCTCATTCAATCCTGGCCCATCGGCAATCAGGACAATTTCATCAGAGATAATCTGCAAATCCTGGTTTACACAATAGCCTCTGTATCAAAAGGGCACCTTACACTCTGTGACCCCTTGAAGTCACCACACAGCTGGGACCTTTGCTGCTTTGCCACATAACTGGTTCAGAAGCACAGGGCTGTGTTTACCTGTGGCTACACTCAGATCCAAGTCTCACACACCAGGCAACACAGTCACATTTGCCCATTCAGTGAAATCTGTAGATATACCAGAAAGGATTTCACTCACCCCACAGTTTAAACAGAGTTGTAAGGTAAGGAACTCTTGCTATCATTGTGCACTTGTTGGCAAAAAGACAAATAAAAGGTGTTAACTGAGTATCAAAACCCATTGCCTTCCATTATTAAAACAACATCATCCTGAAGCAAGAACAGCATAAATACGTATTTTCCACACCCAGTTAATTACACTGGGCCACACATGAGCACGCTGGAAGGATCACTTTCTTCACCTTACCTGCAAGCAAAAAGAATTCCTGCCTGCAAAGGAAAACACACTTCTTTATGCCACCAACATTTTAACTAAGTTAAATGAACCCCAGTAAAAATTACTGTTCTGAAATTCCTTTTCCCAAGTAACTTGAAACACCCAACCCACTTCTTTCAGGTACTGACCTGTTTGTTCACAGGGTGGGTAAGCATGCACCTTTCTTTACGCTGTAACCTGAGAGATGCGAACGCGTTACCACTTATTTCAGAGGAGGTCCACAGGTGAATGCTTCAAGTGCTGTGGGGGGTAAAAAACAACAACAACAACGAAAACAACCAAAACCAATAACAACAACAACAAAAGCCCTGAAACAAACAAACAAAAAAAACATAAAATAAATCCCATAGCACTAAACCCCAACCTCCACAGCACTTCAAACGCCATGGTGAAAACCCGCGAGGAGGTTTCACACGCCTCCCTTCGGAGGAGAAATTAAGTAAAAACAAGCACATGGACACAAAATTGCGGGTGAAGCTTTCCCTCATCTCACTGCCGTCCCGGATGAGAGAGCTTCACACCACGAGCGTGATTTGCGAGAAAACACCGAACTGTCTCCCCAAAATAACCTCGGAGAGGCAGAGCGACAGCCCCGCCGTGCTGCCGGGGCGGCAGCCGCCCAGCCCTCACCTCAGCCCGGCTCGGTGCGGGCATGCCGGCCCCCACCACACCCCAAGGTACCTCCGCAAGCCGGGCTGGCCCGCCCGCTCCGGGATGCGGAGCGCCGGGAGCCGGCGGCACCCTCGGAGCGCCTCTCTCCCGGCGGGAATTGTGGGGAGGCACCGGGCTGTGCTCCTGGATTTGCAAATAGACGGGAAACAAACAGACGAAAAACCAACTCGCAGGTTAAAAAGAAAATAAATAAATAAATAAATAAATAAATAAATGAAATCCGGGTGGACGGACTGAAGCGGAGGGAGGAGCTCTGCGGCGAGCGGGCGCAGCCGGGGCGTCCCCGCAGCGGGAGATGCGGCGGGGCTGGGAGGGCACGGAGATCGATTCCCCCGGGGCACGGAGATCGATCCCCCCGCCCCCGGGGCACGGAGATCGATCCCCCCGGGGCACGGAGATCCCCCCGGGGCACGGCCGTGCCTCCCTGCCCTCCCTCCTGCGGCGGATCCCCGCGGCAGGGTGTTGCTGGCCGCCCCTAAACCGCGCTCCTCAGTTCCCTCCCAGAGCGAGGGCAGAAAGGGGCTTGTCGAGAGCTGGGTGGAAGAATCCCTGCGTCTTCTAAAAGGAACAGGTGCTTTCTCGGGAGGGCGTTTCTCAGACCCCAGAAATCAGCAGTGCCTCCGCTTTTAGGGCTACCTTTCCATCCAGGCAGCACCTATTTTGTAGTTTTGCTGGAGTTCTTGCCAAACCCAGGCTGCTCGGTGGGCTTAGCACATTCCCAGAAGCAGCGTCACAGATCCTGCCCTGTCCAACCTGTGTGACCAACTACAGCCAAGGGTCATCCTGCAGCCTGCAGGATGGGTTTGCCAGGGGCACAAGCTCTGGAATCACAGTGAGACACTTCAGCTGCTTTGCCACCATTTGCTCTTTGTTCTAGGATTCAGAGTCACGTAATGTAAAAACCCAAATGCACCTCTTTGATTCTTTTTCTCACAAAGATCTTGAAGAACTGCAGCATCTTTGATTTTTGGATAAAGGAGAACAAGAAACCAGCTGCAGCCTTGTGAACCATCTGTGAGCATCTTTTTATAATCTACTCATTTTGGGAGTGGAGGCAATTTTCTCTTTTTGATGACAACACATTATTAAAGCTGATTTAATTATGATCTTGGGAGATCAGTTCAGTTATTTCTAGCACATGAAGACAAAGCCCTTCATCCCTCCTGATTGCCTGACTGTTGCATGTAATTTATTTCTTTTGTATTACTTCCATTCATGTGGCATATTTTTCTTCTCCCATCCAAATGTATTTAAGGCCCTTGGTCCAACTGACTGCATTGGTAAATCACCTGAGTCTGCTCAGGTGACCATTTAAAATGACAAGTGAGCTGGATTGCTTACCCCACAGAAAACTTTCTATTTTTATACCATCAAACATGAACATTTTGAAATAGAAAGTAAAATGTCAACCAGTCCTACACCAGTGACTAAAATTTAATGTTTGGAAAGACAGCAGACCCTCCCTTCTATGTCATCTACTTCTATAAAAACAGACACACAAGATTGTTTTCTTTCTGCACCATTTCCAAGAGCTGGGCTGTTGCACAAGCTGCTCTTCTTGTGACTACTATAGTCATGCTAAAATCACAATAGCAACATAAGTGATATGGGCTAAAAAACCCCACAGCAGGGTCCTGGTTCAAAGTCCAGGACCCTGCTCCAAAGTCAGACGGAGCTCACACAAGATTCCTCTCCAGGCACGCCCAGTGGCTGTGTTTCATTGGTTCTTCATCTTCAAACCTTAGATCCACAACTTTATCTTTTTGTTTTCCTAAGCCTTCTTCTTTGGCTTTTCTTCAGTTTCTTCCTCAGCCTGGTCCACCCTGATCCTCCATCCCTTCCTCACTCCCGAGGCATAGATTAAGCTGGGTGCCATCTCCCCAGCCTGCAGCACACTCATCTCTCCTTTCCATCATTTTCTTTGCTGCAGCACCTTTTCCTTCTCCCCCTTCAAATATCCTTGTTCAAATGCACTTAGTGTAACTAACTGTATTGATTTGTTTTGCTTGGACAGAATTTACCCCAGGTGTCCATTTAAAAATGACAAATGAGCTGGATTGCCAAGAGTCTCAAGAAAAAATTGATTGCTTTTGCTGCCATTGAGCATGAATATGTGGAGTAACAATACAATGACTGATATTGGCAGATTCTTATATGAATACCAGTGTCTATGATCAATAGCAAGTCTCTAGAAATTAAAACATTATGGATACGGATAAAGTATTTGTTACAGACACATTTCTGCGATGCATTTTTGGTATATCATGTTTACACAGGACCCACAGCAGATACTGCCCCATTTCCCTATGGAGTGACAGCAGGGCATGTCAGGAGAGGGCATGGATGACTACACATCGCAAGACACCATGGAACTGCATCTGTTCCTTGTGTAATGCTGGAATATCAAGAGGCCTCAAAATATCCTTTGATGAGACAGCAAAGGGTGAAATGGGGAGAAATCTTTACGTAAAATATGGAGGCAAGAATCCATTGGTGGCTGCAAGAAGAGAAGTTTGCTTTCTTGCATGGTAGTTTGCCAGTTCATGGGAATAAGACCCATCCCTCATTTCTGTGCATTCTTGGCAAGGTCCAGTAAACAAGGAAGGTTTCTCCTCTTCACCTTATGCTTTTTGCACCATTTGCATTTCTTTTTGTACAGCCTTTTCCACCATTTGCTTTGTCAGCAGGTTGGTGTGACGCCCTTCCACTCAGCTCATCACTTCCATCAATCTTCCTGGATACTTTCCTCCTGGGAGTTTTCCTCAGTGTTGACAAAGAGCCTTCATTCACAATTTCTGCTCCCAAAGATTTCCTACCTTCATGTTCACCTCTTCAGCTCAGGATCAACTGTGACAAATGGCAATGGAGGCAGAGCTGTCTAAAGAATTTGGAACCCTCTGGGCCAGCATGAGTCAGGACATTAAAATTAGGCCTTTTTTGTAACTAACATGTAATCCCAAGGCAAAAAGCACTTCTTTTACTTGCATATCATGCATCCAAAGCATTGCAACAAAGCTGGTGAAGGGTCTGGAGCAAGTCCTGTGAGGAGCAGCTGAGGGAGCTGGGTTGTTTAGCCTGGAGAAAAAGAGGGCGAGACCTTATCACTCTCTAGAACTACCTGAAAGGAGGGTGTAGCCAGGTGGGGGTTGGCCTCTTCTCCCAGGGAACAAGTGATAGGACAAGAGGAAATGATCTCAAGCTGTGCCAGGTTTAGATCCTAAGGAGTAGGGCAGGTTTAGATATGAGAGCAGGAAAAATTCCTTCACTGAAAGGGCTGTCAAGCATTGGAACAGGCTGCACAGGGAAGTGGTTGAGTCACCATCCCTGGAGGTATTTAAAAAACCTGTAGATGTGGTGCTTAGGGACATGGTTTAGTGGTGGATTTGGCAGTGCTGGGTTAACAGTAGGACTCGATATTAAAAGTGTTTCCAACCTGAGTGATTCTATGATTATAGCAGCATACTGTGTGAATTGTCAAATTTAGGAAGATAGCTCTCCAGGCTTTCAAGCAGGGCAGTCACAGAACACATGTGGGCTATACAATTAGAAAAATGTTAGATGTGATTCTTTTCAGAAACCATGAATGCAGGGTTTTTGGGTTTTTTGTTTTATGACATTGCAAAACTGGTTTTTAATAGTCTTAAAGCATCTGCTGTCCTATAGTTTTCTATCATTACAGACAAACACCACCACCACATCCCCATAAAGACCCCCATAAAGTAAATTCATAACTATGGCATGAAAAATTCAGTTTGTGTAGTGCTTCTACATTCTCATGCATTGCTCATGAGATATTCTCACTGGTTTGAGTAATGGCTGGATAGAGACATTGCCTTGTCTCTTTCAGCATTTCACTGATAGCTCCTTTGAAATACCTTAGACAGCTGTTTGTTGGTTTGTGCTTTTATTCCTTTACTGGAGCACTAAAGCTAATGATGCATCTTACATTTAGTTTCTGAATCTTCTGCCTCATACATATGACTCTGTACTGTGGTAACACTTTTCTGGTCCACATCATCTTGGGAGGCCTTGAAACAAAAATTACATTCTGAGGCTGAAGCAAAATATTTTCTAATTTATGTGTTTCCCTTTCTGAGGGCTTATACCTTTATACTCTTGCCTCTCTTGTCCTAAGAACCAAGAGCTGCTTCAATCAATCAAAAACCCTCAGGAACAGGCTTCATCACATGGTTATGAGCCAGCACAAGTTGTAGGCACGTAATTAGGGCAGCAGATTGCTGGGGCAGCAGAAAAAGGCCTTTTGTCTGTTTTGCTATGCCCGAGTTTCAGCAAGCCAAACAAGCTGAGAGGGTATGTGCCAGCCCTGCTGTGCTGCTGCTGAAAGGATTGGTGCTTTCCAGGAGTAACAGTGGCTGCTCCCATTCCTTTCCTCCCTGCCCCTCAGCTGCAAGCCAAGCTCATGGAGCTTTTCAGCAAACTCGTCCTGTTTCTTTTTAGCCATGCCTGCGAATTGATATGTTGTGTCCCGACTTATATGTCCCATTGTCATAAAACCAGACACAGGAATCTGACCAAGAAACACCATTCTCTTGCAAGAAATTCACTACTGGACTCAAAGACATGCACCACCTCCAGTGAATGGGGATAAATTACAGAAACTACTCCTTAGGATTTAATCCTTTAAAAATTGTTGCGTGAAAAGCTGCTCAAAATCACAGAAGATTTCTGAGCAGTTGACAACTCTAAATGAATGTTTCACTTTCCATGGCTCAGAAGTAACTGCTGACAAATTGCTGGTTCAGAAGAAAAGATTCTCACCCTATGTTTTCAAAAAGTATGAAGTAGTCCTTGCAGCAACATTTCTGTCACGTTTTTGTGCTCTTCCAGGAATGGATCAAATCAGCTGAATAATTCTAAAATTCCTACATAAAATCCTTTCCTTTGCAACTGCATACAGGTCAAGTTATCTGTGGATGAAAAGAAGTTCTATTACAGCTCTTTCCAAGTTCAGCTGCCAGTACTGTTATTCATTTGTTGCTTTGTTCCCCCAACTCTGAGCTAATATAACAAGTTATTTTTTCACTTTCTATTCACCAACATTAAACTGAAGTTGTCTGGGACCCTTCACAGGCTCAGGAATGCAACTGTAGCCATTAAAGTCAGGTGTACAGAACACGAAGCCCGTGGGAGAAAACAATCAGCACACGGAAGAGTAGAATGATCCCTATAATAGTGATTCTAGCAACCATTCCTAATTTGCAGACTCACCCTTGTGTAGTTCCTGCTCGAAAACAGCCTGCACTAAGCAGCTTGTTTGTTCAGCTCACTAGCTGAACAAA